TTGGAAATTAGTTTTACTAACATTTTGAACCTTTTTGTTAAAACTGTTTGTTCATTTTCAGAAATTTTAATTGTTAAGAATTGCTTTTACAAGCAATATTTCTTTAATAAAGGTTTTTTTTCTCTTTGAAAATATTTTCATTTCATGTAAAACAAGCAATAAAATAATAGCTATATTTTAATGGCAGAATAATAATTAAAATATGTGCACCTTGTGAATCAGTTAAAAGTTTTTGATTCTTCCCTTGCAAAATTATTTCATGTTTCTGTTAACATTTGACATAGATCAAATAACAAAGTTTAATTACGTAAAATTTAAGTAATTTTAACTGCAATGATTATTGGTGTTGCGCTGCAGCCCTCAAATTATCTAAACTAAAATTTAAGTTAGTAGTTCTGGTCAATTCTGATTTTGGCGTGTCTTGATGCGATACTTAAGTCTTTGAGAAATAAAAATTCATACAAATATTTTTATTTTATTTTTAATTCGTGTTTCTCACATTACATAAATTTTTTACCATATATTATAATTAGAAATTTTAAAAATTAAAAATTTAGCTTTAAAGATTTCAATTTATTGTATGAACTTTTTACTATCCATTCAGAAATATTTATGTACAGGTTTTTTATCAGCCATAGCTGAAAATAATATTTTTCACTTTGAGTTTAAAAAGAATATTAAATTGTTCAGTTTTTGTTTAATTCGTGATGGAACTGTTATTAGTTATTCTTAATATCAATGCTGCTTGCTTTTTAGATTGTTGATGTTTTCTGTATAGCGTTCGTATGCTGAAAAAATATTTGATACTTTATCAAAACTTTAAATTAAGGCTAAATACACACCAACATAAAAGCAGACCATTTATGTTACATAAGCCTATTTTTGTAGCTGCTTTTTCCCCTGAGGAAAACAATATTGTCAAAGAGTGATTGTCTGTCCTCTGATTGCAACCTGGACAGTCTATTTTATTTAAACAAACAAAAAATCTAATGTTCAAAGCTGGGTACAACAACACAATTATATTTCTAGATAAGGCTAAATACACACCAACATAAAAGCAGACCATTTATGTTACATAAGCCTATTTTTGTAGCTGCTTTTTCCCCTGAGGAAAACAACATTGTCAAAGAGTGATTGTCTGTCCTTTGGTTGCAACCTGGACAGTCTATTTTATTTAATTTTATTTTTGTTCTATTTATTTTAAAAAAAGATATTTTATTTAAACAAACAAAAAATCTAATGTTCAAAGCTGGGTACAACAACACAATTATATTTCTAGAAAATTATTAAAATACTACTTTAGCATAACAGTTGTTCTTTAACAAAAGAACAAAAAATTTCCTAATTTTAAATCTTGACCTGCATTTTGATCCTCAATGTATTAAATTTTTTTTAGGCTGTACGAAATCTTGGTAACTTAGTCTGCAGATTTTATTTCATGGATGGACGAACAAAAGCTATTGATGTTCAGCCTTCAGATACTGCAATGGATGCCATGCAACAGCTAGCTATTAAAACAGGATTGCGAAGTTTAGATGGCTGGGCTCTCTATGAGGTTGATAATTAGTATTATTCATTATATTATAAATATTTAAAACTTTTTATGTTCTATATTAACAACTTTTTGAATTTTAAAGGTGTAATTATGTAGTTTAGTCTATTTTATTTTATATTTAAATTTTTCATTTTGCAGAGTACTCCTGAGTATGAACATGTTATTAAAGGATATGAATACCTTGCAGACATTATTTCTAATTGGGAATTGTAAGTTATATACTATGTATTATTACTATACATACTACTATATATTGCAATTTTTTCTTGAAACTATAACTTTCACTTGTGGATTATGTTTTTTATTTATTTATCTATTTTGTAATGATACTTGGAGTGCTTTATTATAAGCAGAAGCAGTGCTGTATTACCCATTAGGCCATGGCCTGGGGCCCCCAATGATTAGGGCCCCCTTAAAAGGGATTTTTTGAAAATAAATTTCAAAAATTAAAAAAAACAATGATTTGAAAAAAAAAATCAATTTTAAATCGATATTAAAATATTTTCAAAATGTTATGATTATTTTTTAGTTCTAATTTAAACAAAATAAAGTAAAATTTAATTTAGTATTACATTATTTTAATTTTAAATATGCTTTCTTAAATGAAAAGATATATAAATACTTTTATATTTGAATAAATAAAAATATAAGAGAAAAACAACTTGATCGAAGGGCCCCAAAAATTTGAATGGCCTTGGGCCCCACGTATGCTTAATCCGGCCCATGAGCAGAAGAAAATGTTTTAGGATATTTCAGACAATTTAAAAATATCTCTTTCAGAATATTGAAAATATCAAGAAATTGTTTACAAATAAATTGTTTATTAGAAAGAAAAAAAATAATTATTGGCTTAGTAAATAAATTATTTGCAACTCATACATAGCATGATGTGCTCTTAAGTTCGCAAATAGAAAGTATGACTTAATATATTCTTCCACTTGGCTCTTATATAATTTATTACCAGTTATTTATTCTTTGTATTATTCACTAGTACATGGTGTTAAAAAAAAATTTCTGATAATGTATGTAGATGCTTTATCTGTGTTTTATTTTAAATTGTAATTATAGATTGTAAAGTTCCTTTTATTTTTTTTATGCATTTTAATTTAGAATAAAGAAACATTTTCTTATGTTACTAAATATAATTTATTTTGTAGTTGCCAAAGAACATCAGCAACTTTCAGTAAATACAATACCTTATCTCGAAGAGGTCCTAGTATGGCTTTAGGAGGTGGTGAATGCAGGTTTTTATTTAAAAAGCGATTGTTTCGAAATCCTCGTGAGATCCCACAGGATCCTGTGGAAGTTAATCTTCTATTTGCTCAAGCTGTTCATGGTGTTGTGAAGGTAATTACATTAAAATCTGATATTTTTTCTTTTTTTATAAGATGTATATATTTTCATATGTACCTCATTTTCACAACTTTATAGGCTGATGAGTATCCAATTAATGAAAGAGTTGGGCTGCAGTTAGCTGGTCTACAAGCTCAAGTTCTTTTAGGTGAACCTCAAGAAGCAAAAGTAGAAAGGTAATATATGTGTATAAATTGTATATAATAGCGGGAAGGGAGTAAGGCTGAGTAGCTAACTGTACAATGAAGGCCTGTTAGAGCTAACTGTACGACCTAGAAACTGTCAGATTTAATCAAGAGATTTATTGTTTAGTTGCATAGAATACATCATTCTTGAAAATTCATTAATGTATTACTTATTTTATAAATGATATTTTCTGGAAAAACCCAAATGTATATATAACGTCCTTGCCGAGTGGAAGGATTAAAACAGGTCATAGGCCGGGAAGGAGGGTACGAAATTTATTTATTAATTATTAGACAGAGCAGACATGAAAGTGTGTACGAAAAGTTGTGCTCTTCTGTTATATGTTAGGGAAAATCTTGCAA